CCGCCCGTTAGGGTTGTCACGCTTGTTGGTCGAGCGCGCTCCCACACTTTCATGGGCCGCCCGCCCGCCGACCGCCCTTTAGGGTCCGCCCGACCCGACCCGACCCGCTGTCGCCCGCCAGGGTCCGCCTGCCCCACCCGACCCGCCCGTCAGGGTTCACGCGTGCTCACTCGAATGCGCCTCCACACTTTAGTGTCCCGCCTGCCCGACCCGACCTGCCCGTTAGGGTCCACCCGACCCGAACCCGTCCCGCCCGTTAGGGTCCGCCTGGCCCGACCCGACCCGCCCGTTAGGGTTCACGCGTGTGCTCGAGCGCAGCCTCCACACTTTAGTGTCCCGCCCCGCCCGAACCCGACCCGCCCGGTCGCGCCGACCGACCCGCCCCGCCCGTTAGGGTCCGCCCCCGCCCACCCGCCCGTTAGGGTTCACGCGTGCTCACTCGAGCGCGCCCCACACTTTAGTGTCCCGCCCGCCCGACCCGACCCGCCCGTTAAGATCCGCCCGACCCGACCCGACCCGCTTCGCCCGCCAGGATCCGCTCGCCCGACCCGGCCCGCGTGTGAGGGTCCGCTCGACCCGTCCCGCCCGTTAGGGTCCGCCCACCCGATCGGGCCCGCACGCTGGGGCTCACGCGTGCCCACTTGATCGCGCCCCGCACTTTTTAGCGTCCCGCCCGCCCGACCCGACCCGCCCGTTAGGGTCCGCGCGGCCCGACCCGACCCGCCCCGCCCGTCAGGGCCCGCCCGCCCAACACGACCCGCCCGTCAGGGTTCACGCGAGCTCACTCGAGCGCGCCCCAAACCTCAGTGTCCCGCAGCATCCGGGACCTCCTTGACACCCCCCCCACGTCTCTGCGACCCTTTCGCCTACTCAAGCGGCGCGCCTCAAAGGCTCCTGGGGGTCAGCACGGCGGCGGCGACGGCCACGCCAGCGACGGCGGCGCCTGCTTTTGCCCCTGAGCCTGCCCCGCCTGCTCCCCGCCCGGCCCCGGCGAAAGCCAACCCCGGCGAAAGCCAACCCCGGCGAAAGCCAACCCCGGCGAAAGCCAACCCGGCGAAAGCCAACCCCGGCGAAAGCCAACCCGGCGAAAGCCAACCCCGGCGAAAGCCAACCCGGGCGAAAGCCAACCCGGCGAAAGCCAACCCGGCAAGAGCCAACCCAGGCGAAAGCCAACCCCCGGCGAAAGCCAACCCCGGCGAAAGCCAACCCCGGCGAAAGCCAACCCCGGCGAAACGAAGCCCGGCGAAACGAAGCCCGGCGAAACGAAGCCCGGCGAAAGCCAACCCTGGCGAAAGCCATCCGTGCCGGGAGACGGGGGGGCGGGGGCCCGGGCCGATCGGCAAAACAATTGATAGAACGATCACCATTGGCAAGTTGCTTGGCCTCTGTGTGACCAGCTTGCCATTTAACTGCATTAGGTCCACATCGGCCCGCTTGGCGGTGGCTGCCTATACATTCTGGAATTGGACACGTCTACCCACCCCATCACGTCTTTACACGCTTCGAATGCACGTCAAATCTACGAACCCACGTCGAACTCGCAATGGATCCACGTCGAGTCTGTGTCGAGTCCGTGTCGAATCCGTGTCGAGCCCGCGACGAACACAAGAGACGATTGTCGCTGATGGGACAGGCAAGGCCCCGCGAAGTTGCAACGTTCAGAAGAGCATGCCAACGACGCTATGCTATGCTGTGTAGCGCTACCCAAGACACATTGAAATGCGATGCTGTGCTGTGCAATCCAATGATATGTAATCCAACGCTCACTCGTACGCAAAGCTACGCAATGTAATACTAAGCGATTCGATTCAAAAAATGTACGCGATGCGATGATGTGCAATGCTGCGCAATGCTATGCAAGGATGCACCATGAAATGCCACAGAATTCTACGCATTTACATGCAACGCTGTGCAACACTAGCCGATTCTCTGCAACGCTATGCAACGTCAACGTCCAAATCTAAGGAGACGGCGGCGGCGACGACGGCGCCAGAAGCGATGTTGGCGGCGGCGCCGCCGACTACGAGACCAAACGATCATGTTATGACTGTTCCCTCTCGCCTACCACGTGTGGTTGGCACGGCCCTCACCTTGGGAGAAGGAGGTATGAGGAAAAGGGAGAAAGCGAGAAAAGGAGGAGGCAACGAGAAAGGAGGGGGCAAGAGGAAGGGAGGATGATATCCTAAGGGGTGGGTCGGGCGGACGGGACATTAAAGCGGGCGGACGGGCTTCCAAGCACATGGACGGGCAGACCCTACTGGGCGGACCGGGCGGGCGGACATTCACGCTCGGGTCGGGCGGGACGTTGAAGCGGGCGGGCGGGCTTCCGAGCAGCCGACTGGGCGGGCCCTAGCGAGCGGGTCGGGCGGGCAGACTCTCATAAGTAGGTCGGCAGGGTGTGCCCTAATTGCAGCGAATTCCTAGGCGACATCGAGATTCCTGCGCAAATCTGCCGAATTCCAGCGCGGGAGTGCGATGCTTAATGAATTGTAAGGAAGTGAGCTGGTGTCGTCACTGCTGGGCCGTCTCAAACTTGAACGAATTACAAGAATGCCTCGAATGGGAGCGCCGTTCCTGAATTGGGGGGACTCTCTGGCCAGTGCGTCCTGGTGAATACTGTGAGGACGTATCAGGCGGGAGCCGTTGTCGTCGTAGCTGGGCCTCCAGGGCTGGGATTTGGACCCAAGGCCGCGCTCGAGCGGGAACAACGACGACGACGACGACGACGACGACGACGACGACGACGACGACGACATCGACGGCGGCGGCGGCGGCGACGACAACGGCGGGCACGCAGGTGGCGTCTCCCGGGCCGAGGAACGCCCACCGCCCGACGACGCGCGGGTGCCGTACTTTATCTGGTAGGTGAAGTCAGCGTGCCCCGGCCGCGGCACCGCGTCCATCTCCTCGGCGCCGGGGCCCGCGCGGCCCGCGCGTCGCGGGGGCGCGGCCGCAACCCCGCGTCCACACCCTCGGCCCCTCGGGCGCGCGGCCGCGCGCGTCGCGCCGCGCAGGCGAGCGAGGCCGCGCGGCGCGGTCGCGCGCGGTGGGCGCAGATTGCAAACAGTGGGCTCTCGAGCTCTCGATGTGCAGCATACGCTGGGTGCAAGATGAGTATGGTGCAACGTATGCGTTGTGTTACGCATGGTGCAAGGGTGTGTGATGCAAGTTGTGTGGTGCAAGCGATGTGTTGCAAGCCATGTGCTGGAAGCCATAGGGTGCACTGCACGTGTGCAACACATGGGGGCGCAGTCAGTGATGCCATGTCTATGTATACCTCTATATGTATTATATATATATATGTCAGAAATATGTGTAAATATATACATATATGGGGCAACCTATGTGGTGCAATGTGGTGCAAACCATGCACTGCATGCTGTAAGGTGCGCAATCTCTGGAGTGCCATCTAAGTCGTGTAATCTACGGGTTGCACGTCACGTGTGGTGCAATCGGTGTGGTGCACAACACATGACATGTGGTGCAGTCCATGCCGTGCAAGCGCGTGGGGCGCCCACGAGGCGCCCACGGGCGGGCACCAGGCAGAAACTCAGAGATGCCAGCCGAGGTCACGAGGCGCCCAGGGGCGGGAACCGGGCGGCAACCCAGAAAATTCCAGCCAGCGCACGAGGCGCCGGAGGGCACTGAGCAAAATTATCCCGGCAAAGCAACCTAACAGCGATGTGTAGAAGCATATCTGAAAGCATTCCCCTTAAGATTCAGATGAAAATCCAGTTGTCGAATTCTGCTGTTCTCGCAGTCGTAGTCGCATTCGCGATGACAGTCGCAGCGGCAACGGCAGTCGCAGTCACAGCCTCAGCCTCAGCCTGCCTCAGCCTCAGCCTCAGCCTGCCTCAGCCTCAGCCTGCCTCAGCCTCAGCCTCAGCCTCAGCCTGCTTCAGCCTCAGCCTCAGTCTGCCTTCAGCCTCGGCCTCAGCCTCAGCCTGCCTCAGCCTCAGCCTGCCTCAGCCTCAGCCTCAGCCTCAGCCTGCCTCAGCTCAGCCTGCTCAGCCTCAGCCTCAGCCTGCAGCCTCAGCCTCAGCCTCAGCCTCAGCCTCAGCCTTCAGCCTCAGCCTCAGCCTCAGCCTGCCTCAGCAGCATCAGCCTGCCTCAGCATTCAAAATGTGGCCCGGGAATGGAGTTCTGGGAACTCGAAGAACACGAAGTGGCCTACAGTTGGCTCCGGGCATTCAAAATGTGGCCCGGGAATGGAGTTCTGGGAACTCGAAGAGCACGAAGTGGCCTACAGTTGGCTCCGGGCATCCAAAATGTGGCCCGGGAATGGAGTTCTGGGAAGTCGAAGAGCACGAAGTGGCCTACAGTTGGCTCCGGGCATCCAAAATGTGGCCCGGGAATGGAGTTCTGGGAAGTCGAAGAGCACGAAGTGGCCTACAGTTGGCTCCGGGCATCCAAAATGTGGCCCGGGAATGGAGTTCTGGGAGCACCAAGAGCGATTTTGCGAGGATGTCCCAAGCGATTTCGGCTTCGGCGGCAGCCTCCGGGCAGCCGCCCCGGGTCCCGCCCCGACCCCCTGTGGAGTCATCTGCTGCTCTCTTTTGAGACCACTATTAGCTGTTAGGTAAAAAACCTGAAATCCCAGCCACGTGTAATTGCGAGGGCTCCGAGCGCTAGCTTCGTTCGTGTAAGGAGGGTTCACTGGGCCCGGCCTGCTCCTCATCCTCCGACTCCGCCTCCCCCCCCTGCCTCCGAGACCCCACCCCACCGGCCACACCGGGAACCGCTCGGAGCCTGCAGAACCCCCGAAGCACACACCAGAACGCAGAGTGTTGGACCCCACCGAGCACCAGACTCTCGAGGGCAGCTCCCCCCCCCGCCCCTTCGAAGGTGATTCCCTCCCTTCCTTCCTGTTCGCACGTCGCGGCGAGCTCGCTCCGAGACGTCGGTCGCAGGTCGCCGCGGCAACTGCTGCAGCGAGGGGTAGCGGGGGCGCGGAGTGGAGGAGACTCGGAGGCGGCTCTTGGCGCAGCACCGGAGGTCCGCGATCCCCATATACCCACTCAGCCGTGCCAACACATCCGGTAACAATAACCGTCTGGCATCGACATGCTGCTTCACGAAAAATACACAAACAATGGGGGGTCCGCCGGCAGCCGCTGACGTGCCCGCGTACACCCCTCCCCTGCTCTTCGACATCCCCCCCCTCCCCCCCCACCGCCCCCTCCCCCTTTCCTGCCGCCTCCTCCTCCTCTCCTTTCTGCTCCCCCTCCTCCTCCCCTCCTCCTCGTCTTCTTCGTATAAACATTTATAGTGAAGCTATGAGCCAGTAACAGTATCAACATCATTAGTCATGCGATTAATCATCTGAATATTGCTTGCTGCAGCCGTATCATTACTATAATAGTATTAGACATATGATTAATGTTGTGATATTCGTTGCAGTCGTAGTCTTCGTCTTCATCGTAATATTCTTGATAGTGTGGTTATGAATAGGCAGGGTCTGGCTTCCAATGATAACTTGTTTACTAATATTAGTACCAGCAGTATTCGCAGTAGTAGTCGCAGTAGTAGTAGTAGTTGTTGTTGTAATAGTAGTAGTCGTCGTAGTAGCAGAAGTAATATTGATACCACGCTTCGTATTACCATCCTTTGTAATATCACTAATACTCGTATTCATCATCCTTTTCCTCCTCTTCCTCCTGTCGTCGCCGTTATCGGTCTCGGTACCACGGTTTGACGCTGCCCCCCGCCCCCAAAAAGCCATTGCCTCTGGGAGGGGTTGGTCAAACTAGTCTCGTAATATGTAAGAAATACAAAAAAGGAGCGCGATCCGAAGAGGACCCCCCCCCCTTCCCAGGATGCGCGGGGTATCTGTCCACCTGCGCCCCTAGGAAGGGGGGGAAAGGAAGGGAAAAGAGATGTTGTTACGAAGCGGACGAGGAAGAACATAGAACATATAGGAGGAGGAGGAGGAGGAGGAGGAGGAGGAGGAGGAGGAGGAGGAGGAGCGCGGGCGAGGGTCGGGCGGCGGAGCTGAAAGCCCGTGGCCGTGGCCGCGCTCGCCGACAGCGGGATGGCGCAGCGGCCCTTCCCCATACCCACGCGATGCCCCAAGGACACGGCCCCGAGCCTCACCAAGGGAAGCCTCACCCACCGAGGTGTGCGTGTTGTGTGTTTTGTGTGTGTGTGGGGTTGTGGTGTGTGAATGTGTGTTGTCGTGTGTTGTCGTGTGTGTATGTGTGTTGTGTGTTGTGTGTTGTGTGTTGTGTGTTGTGTGTGGTGAGTGTGTGGTGCGGTATGTGTGTGTTATGTGTTATGTGTTGTGTGTTGTGTGTGGTGTGTGTGTGTGTGTTTTGTGTTTTGTGTTGTGTGTTATGTGTGTTGTGTGTTGTGTGTGGTTTGTGTATGGTGTGCGTTGTGTGTGTGTGTGTGTGTGTGTGTGGGGGGACGGCTGGTCTTAATCGTGAATTACATTCGTGTACGCAGTGATGTGCTACGCAGCGTTGTTTACGCAATGTGCTGTACGTAAATGGTGTTGTGCAATGTGTTTGTTTGGTACGCAGTGTTGTTGCGGCCGTGTTGCTTTTTACGCGGCGTTTTACACAACATGTGCTGCGCAGTGTGGTGTACGTCGTGTGGTTTACGCAGTGCTGTGTTTGTACGCTGCGTTTATCTGCGCAATGTTGTTTGTATGCAGTGTTGTCTACGCAGTGTTGTTACGTAGTGCTGTTTGTAGGCAGTGTTTTTTTTACGCAGAGTTGTACGCAGTGTTTTTCGCCGCGTTTTTTCACGTAGCATGTCATAGCTTGCGAGGCCTCCTTGCAGGGCTCGCCACAGACCACGGAGGCCTTCAGGACTCGTCATTCATCTCCTCCTTTTCCATCTCTTCCTCTTCCTCCTCCTGCACCTCCTCCTCCCGGTCCTCGCATCCTGGCGTCCTTCGCTGAGGGAAGGGAATACGGAGCGGGGGGAGGAGCAGCAGGAAGAGCAAGAGGAGCAACAACAGGAGGAACAGCAGGAGCCTCACAATGGGGTCGAAAGCTCCAGCGCCGTGGAATTCCCAAAACAACTCTTGCATTCAGGCGGTCATGCTTCCCGCGCAACGCATGCACTGGTGCCAACAGCGGTAGCACCGCACAGGTTGCATCGCGTTCCCTGCGCGTCAAGTTCAACGAATAACTGTTTGTTTGGGGCCCACGTGCGCCAACGCCTTCTTGCTCGAAATCGGTCCCCCGACCCGCCGCCCTCCGAGCAGGGCACCTTGGCAATGAGTCCTCCTGACCTATGCGCACCGTAATAATAGCCTGCAAGCGCCAAAACACGCTAAACACGCATGTGAGCACCGAACATGCCCGTCGGCACCACGCCATGCCTGTGAGCTCGGCGCCGCAACAGGTGGGGAGCCTGCGAGCGCCACAACACGTTTATGAGCACCAGAGCATGCCTTTCAGTACCACGCCATGCCTGTGAGCACAATCCGCCCCTTAAACAACACAGCGGTAGCACATGCCACGCCGAAAACCGCGTACGGAAAACGAATTGCCTCAACCGAAGAAACATGACGCCTACATGGGGGCCATACAGGGTGAACCAATACACGGGTGACACGTGTCATCCCGAAGACCGCGTGAGAGAAACCAATTGTTTCACTCGTATTCTTATTGCCAACTTGGGGCCATACAGAATAAGTCACACAACGGTGACACGTGTCACCCCGAAAACCGTTTGAAAACAAAAAGAACAATATTTCCACCGAGAGATTGACACAAACATGGGCGCATACAAATTGAAGCAAACAGTGGTGACACGTGTCAACCCGAAAACCGTGTGAGGAAAAACACTCGTCCCACTCGCGTTCTGGACGCCAGCATGGGGACAACAGCAACGGCCGACGGCAAGAACGAGGGCGAGGACGGCGACGACGGCGGCGGCGGCGAGGACGACGACGATGGCGGCGGCGGCGGCGGCTGCGGCGACGACCTCGACGACGAAAGCGACGGCGACGGCGACGGCGACGTCGACGGCCACGGCCACGGCCACGGCGAGAGTCTCCGCCCCACGCGGTGCGCGCCCCTGCCCGGCGGGGGGGGGGTCGGCGGCAGGGGGGCCACTCCTTGTAGTCCCCGGGCCTCTGGTCCTCGTTCTTCACCTCGGGCGCGAGCGTTTTCCGCCCTGCCCCCCTCCTCCCCGCCCTCTGATCCAGCCCCTGCACCCTCGTCGTCCTCCTCGCCCTCCTGCCGCCCTTCTCCCCGCCTCGTCCATTCGCCCCCTGCCTCTGCCTCTCCGTCCCTCTCCTTTCTCAAGAGGGGGGGGGGGGGGGGAATGGAGGAAAAAAGACTATCAGAAGGCAAGGGGGGCTCGGGAGGATGAGAACGACGACGACGAGGAGGAAGCGGCTGTTCCCCTCCTGCTATCCTCTCCTGCTACAGTCCTTCTCGTGCTTCCCCCTCCCTCCCATCCCCATCCTCACCCGTCCATCCTCCAAGTCCCTCCCTCCTCCACCGGGCGGGGGAAGGATGCGGAGGGAGGGAGAGAGGGAAAAAAGAGTTGGGAGGCGAAGCGGGAAGAAGGGAGGTAGAAGGAGGAGGATGAAGGGTGAAAGAGAAGGGGGGGGAAGGAGGCGGGAGGGAAGGCGGGCGAAACAGACACGGCGCCCGCTGTCCTTCGGGAGCAGCACAATGCTGTGCGGATGCCAGCTTCTAGCTCAGCGCATCCCCCTGAGTCAGTGGGAGCACCACACCCGCAGCTGGCAGAGGAGAAGGAACAGAGGAGGGAGGGGAGGGAGGGGAGGGTCGGTCGGAGGGGGGCGAGAGGGTGGTGGTTTAGGGGGAGGGGGAGGAGGACAGGGATGAAAAGGAGGAGATGGAGGAAGACGAGGAGGAGGAGGAGGAGGGAAAGGAAGAGGGAAGAAGGGCGACACGGAGGAAGGGCAGGAGGGGGAGGATGACAGGGGATAGGAGGAGAAGAGGAGGGAGAGGAAGGAGGGGGAGGCAGGGAAGGAGGGAGGGGGGGAAGGGGAAGAGGGATGAGGAGGAGGGAGAAGAGGAGGAGGAGGAGTATAGGAAGAGGAGGAGGAGGAGGAGGAGGAGGAGGGCGACGACGGACCCCTTGACGGCGAGACGGAGGAGTCACGAGCCAGGAGAAACCGACGTGTCGGGCCTGCCCCTCAACCCGCCCCAGAAGACTGCACTGCGGGCAGGGCGGCCTCTGGAGGTCCATGGCAGTGTCCAGAACCTCGAGGCCTCCGACAGAGCCAACAGAAGTGCCGAAGGCGCTCAGAAAAACCCTCCGATCCCGGCTGGACTTTCGTCCTCGTCCTCGTCGCTGAGTCGGCCAGCCGAAGCTGTTGCAACCGTTCCAGGCTCCTGCGCCCTAGAACGCACACTGTTGCAACACACCGCGAACCGTAGCTTGGGGGCGCCAGCTCATGCACAACTGTTGCTCGCCTGGACACATCAGCGCCACGGCGGCAAAACATGGAAGCGTAACGCAAACTATTGCAATGCAAGGTGTAGTCACGCTTGCACCAGCATTGGCTCATGCGAGCAGGGGTGACCTGAAAAACGCGAGCCGTCACTGCTTGCACGAGTCCAGGAAACGCTGCGTCATGTTCGATCAATGCGCAGTGAAATGCATGCCCTGTGTTTGAGCCACGCGGCTCGGGAAATCATAATAAGTTTACGATGCTGGAGCTCGACTTCTGCGAACGGTTGCGCCCATGCATGCGCTCCCATCTGCTCCCACATCCAGCAGCATGCCTCTGGTCTGCCCAGCATCCGTCATGAAGAGGATCAAAAAAGTGCATATACATATATGCATATCTATATATATATATATACATAAACTCTTGGAGGTCTGGGCGGATTCGGCCGCCCCAGCAGCACGCCCCGGACCTGCCAAGCATCCAGCCTCGCCGACGCACGGAGCCCTCGTCGCCCGAGCTGCGCCACCCCCCTCCCCCCCCCTCCCCCCAGCCTCGTGGAGCGCGCGCGGTGTCCCCCGAGCTCGGTGCCTCCCACACGTCCTCCTCCTCCTCCTCCTCCTCCTCCTCCTCCTCCTCCTCCTCCTCCTCCTCCTCCCCGTGGAGCCGAGCTCCCTGCCATCAGCCCGATGGACGTGCCGAGCGTGTAGCCGAGCTCGGTGCCGGACAGGATGGTCACGAGGTCCTTCTCGTTCCGCGGCGTCGTCAGCCTCCGTGGGGCCGGCCGGCCCGGGCGGCGCGCACGGCGGCCTCCGCGCCCCTCCTGGGGAGCGCCCCGCCTTCTCGGAGGCCCCCCCCCCCCTCGCCCTGCCCGTTCGGGCGCGCCAACTCGCAAGGGCCGCAAGGGGGAGGGGGCGGCACGGGAGCAGGGGCTCTCTTGGAAGGCAGGGTGCCGCCCTCGCGAGGAGCACCCAGCCCTGTCGGCGGGCCTCCCCCCACTCGCCGCCCAAAGAGGAGCGGGAGGAGCACAGGACAGGACGAGCGCCGATCCCGCCTCACGTGCGTGTGGACCGCGGAGCGCCGCAACAAGAGGACGGCGTCGGGGCCGTGGCCGCATCACAGCAACTCGTCGGTGGATCCAGCTCTGCGGGAAATGTCGGCTCGTCTGGCGGCTTCTCCCCTCCTCCTCCCTCCACCATCATCCTGCGTCCTCGTAATCCTCCTCCACCTCCTCCTCCTCCTCCTCCTTCTTCCTCCAGCGCCTCCTCACCCTCGTCCACCACCATCAGCATCATCAGCATCATCAGCATCATCATCGTCGTTATCATCATCATCATCATCATCATCATCATCATCATCATCATCATCATCATCATCATCATCATCATCAGCATCATCATCATCATCATCATCATCATCATCATCCTCCTCCTCCTCCTCATCATCATCATCATCATCATTATCATCATCATCATCATCAGCATCATCATCATCAGCATCAGCATCATCATCATCATCATCATCATCATCATCATCATCATCATCATCAGCGACAGCAGCACCATCATCACCATCATCATTAGCATCATCAGCAGCAGCAGCATCAGCATCAGCATCATCATCAGCATCAGCATCAGCATCAGCATCATCATGATCATCAGCAGCAGCATCAGCCGCAGCGTCATCATCATCATCATCATCATCATCATCATCATCATCAGCACAATCATCAGCAGCAGCAGCAGTCGCATCATCATCACCATCGCCATCATCAGCAGCAGCATCAGCACCACCATCAGCATCAGCATCATCATGAGCATCATGACCATCAGCATCATCACTATCGTCAGCATCAGCATCATCAGCAGCAAAAGCATAATCATCATCATCGTCATCATGCGCACCATCATCATCATCAACATCAACAGCATGATCGTCATCAGCATCATCAGCATCATCCTCAGCAACATCTTCTCCATTATCAGCATCGTCATCATCAGCATGCGCACCATCATCAGCATCATCGCCATCAACATCAGCATCTGCAGCATCATCATCAGCATCAGCAGCATCCGCATCATCATCATCATCATCATCATCATCATCGTCATCAGCATCATCGCCATCAGCAGCATAAGCATCATCGCCATCATCATCACCATCTTCAGCATCAGCATCATTATCATCATCAGCATCAGCATCAGCAGCATCAGCATCAGCATCAGAACCATCCTCAGCATCAGCATCAGCAGCAGCATCCGCATCCGCATCCGCATCAGCAACATCAGCATCAGCATCATCGTCAGCCTCGTCATCATCATCATCACCAGCATCAGCGTCCGCATCATCAGCAACAAAAGCATCATCATCACCACCACCACCATGATCATCAACATTATCATCGGCAACAGCATCAGCATCACCATCAGCATCATCATAAGCAGCATCAGAAACATCGTCGTCAGTATCATCATCAGCATCATCAGCATCATCATCACCATCAGCATCATCATCATCACCACCACCACCATCATCGTCATCATCATCATCAGCATCAGCATCATCATCACCAGCATCATCAGCATCAGCACCATCATCATCATCATTAGCAGCATCCTCAATGTCAGCGGCAGCATCAGCACTAACAGCATCAACAAGTTTACTATCAGCATCAGCATCTTCAGCATCATCATCGGCATCAGCATCATCATTATCATCGGTATCATCGTCATCATCATCATCTTCATCACAGTTGTCGTCACTACCCGCAGCGTCAGAAGCAACAGCCATCACAACCACCACCATCATCATCAGCATCACCGTCATCATCATCAGCATTATCAACATCATCAGCATCATCCGCACCATCATCAACACCATCAATATCGTCATCATGATCCTCAACTGAAGCATCATCGTCATAATCAGCAGCAACATCATCATCATAAGCATCATCATCAGCACCATCAGCATCATCAGCATCAGCATCATCGTCAGCGCCATCATCATCACAACAACCATCATCAGCGTATTTACCAACGACAGAAGCAGCAGCACCATCATCATCATTGTCACCATCCTCATCAGCATCCTTATCATCAGCACCATCAGCACCATCGTCACAAGCATCATCATCATAACCATCACCATCACAATGATCAATATCATCATCAGAATCATCATCACCCTCATCATCATAATCATCTTTGGGCGCCCGAAATGGGTACGGAAACAATAGGTACAATGCCCAACAACCAATGGTGTCCCAAACCAACAGCGGCGGCTGTTGAGCAGGCGGCCTTCTGTCTCAGATGGACACAGGCCGCGGCGGCGCGGACAGCGAGTCCTGTTCAAAATGAACAGGAACTTCTGTTGGGCACTGTACCCATTCTTTCCGTGCCCATTTCGCTCGTGCAGATCATCACCATCACCAACAGCATCATCGACACCATCATCATCATCATCATCATCATCATCATCATCATCATCATCATCAGCAGCAGCAGCAGCAGCAGCATCATCATCCATCATTAGCATCGTCACCACCACCACCACCGTCATCATCATCATCGTCACCACCACCATCATCATCATCAGCATCATCAGAATCCTCATCGTCATCGTCGTCATCATCATCCTCAACATCTTCAGCATCATCAGCATCATAATCATCGAGTTGCACATCCTCATGCTCTTCATCCTCAAACTCCGCCCGCGACCTCCTCTCCAAGGGTGCGAGCTTCGAGACACTACGGCCGTGGCGACGGGAAGCCTCCAGGCGAGAAGAGAACTCGAAGCTCGATCCTCGATCCTCGATCCTCGATCCCTCAAAAATCAAAACTTCAAGCTCGATCCTCGATCCTCCCTCCCCCCCGTGGCGCCTGCTCTGGCCGGGTCTGCGCCGGGTCAGCTGCGGCTGTATGTCCGCCTCCGTAAGACGCATGCACGGTGGTACGCCATCCACCACTGCGCCCACTGCCTGTTACCGCTCGGGGAAGTGAAGGGATGAGGGAGGAGGAGGGAGGAGGAGGAGGAGGAGGAGGAGGAGGAGGACGACGACGACGACGAGGACGTGGACCAGAATACCGCCCCAAGACCCGAATTCATTAGCCCGTACAGGCAGTATTCCTCACTACGCGCTGTGAAATCACAGAAACGACTGGACCTCAGGAACGGCCTGGGGGTCCGCGCCGCGCGGCGACGGAGAGGCAGAAACGGAACGAGAGGCAAGCAGACGACGGCGAACGCGCAGGCGGGAGGACGGGGCGGGCGGGAAGACGCAGGCGGACGGGCAGGCGGCAAGAGACGGAGGGGAGACAAGGCGGCGCGCGCGGAGCAGGGGAGGAGGAGGCCAGGGAGAGGAGGAGGAGGAGGAGGAGGAGGAGGCAAGGGAGACGAGGAGGGAGAGGGGAGCAGCCGCGCGCAGACGGGCCGGAACAGGGGCCGGGAGAGAAGGGCCACTCGCGACGGAGCGACGGGCGCTGCGGTGGCCAGCAAGGCCGCGCCGGCCGAGGGAGGCGCAGGGGGGGCGCGCTGCGCCCCGCCTGGAAGGAACCAAAAGAAAGCGCCCCGGGAGCACGCCGTTCAGGCGGGAGCTCCGCCTTGAAGGACTCCGCCCTCCATGCTTCGAGCGAGGGGGGATGAGACACGGTGGGCGTAAAATTCCAGGAAACTCTGGACGACGACCCCACATTGAAGAGGAGCCCTGCTCCATCCGTGCAGCTGTTGCACCGTGTTCTCTGACGAGAGCACCATGTTGAAAGGGAGCCGCCCTCGATCCATCGTAACACGCGCGGCCCGTCGCAGTTCGCGCGGCCCCGCGACGTCTGGGCTCCTGGACCCCTGGCGGGGCCTGCACTGAGCTCGATGCCCTGTCGGAATACCTCGGCGAATTCCCTGGTCGTTTCGGGTGCAGCCTCTTTTGCACGGCTACCTGGAGATGCAGTTCTCTTCTAAGCGTGGCTGCCTATGCCTGTGCACCTCACTTGCCAGTCCGCGGCACACGTCACAGCCCGAGCGTGGTGCGACCCACATCGCTACCACAAAGAAATGACTTTTGAACATTGCTTCACGTGTTTCGTGTTTAAGTCTCAGGCGAGAGCCCCTTTTTACAACGTACCAGCCTCCATCCGTGTATCTGCTGGAGCTTCTCTTCTTAGCTTCAGGATTGCAAGATGAGAGCGAAACGCAAAACCTGGACTACGGACACGCCTGGCAGTGAACAGGGGGGAGCTAAAGAAAAGTATAGGGAAGAGAGATGGAGGAGGAGGAGGAAGAGGAGGAGGAGGAGGAGGCGGAGGAGAAGGACGAGGAGGAGAAGGACGAGGAGGAGGAAGAGGACAAGGAGGACGAAGAGGACGAGGAGGAGGAGGAGAGAGGAGGGAGAGGGAGAGAGGTGAAGGCTCGATAGCCCTTCGAGCCCAATCATGTCCCTCGGCGCTTCGCAAAAACACGACAGGCCGCGCCCTAGTCACTGGCGAAGATCAGCGCAGCGCCCACAAGCCACAGAGTGCATATCAACCGGGGCCCACCGCCACACCTCGCGCGGGGAGATTGCTGGTTATGTCCGGCAGTGGTCCCTGCCCTGGAAGGGGGGGTCGGTCGTGCTCGTTCCTGGCGATGCCACTCTTTGTCGCGACGTCGAGCGCCTGGGACCAAGAAGTGCCGATGCCGGCCCCTCCCCGTGCGGGGGGGGGGGCAGGCCTGGGGGCAGGGGCGCCGCCCCGGCGTGGCCCCGTGCACCGCCCGCCGCGGGCAGATCCGGGATGGGGGGGGAGGAGAGCACCAGTGACGAGCCGCCGTTGACGATCCGGAGGAGGAGGAAGAGGGAGGAGGAGGAGGAGGAGGAGGAGGAGGAGGAGGAGGAGGAGGAGGAGGAGGAGGAGGAGGAGGAGGAGGAGGAGGAGGAGGGAGGAGGAGGAGGAGAGGAGGAGGAGGAGGAGGAGGAGGGAGGAGGAGGAGGAGGAGGAGGAGGAGGAGAGGCAGGATGACGGCAACGCTTGGGCGCGGTGGGGCACGTCGAGGCGGGGGCGACCGCCGCAGGAATCATGCGCGAGGGGGTACCCACAGGTGGGGGAGCGGAGGTCCAGGCACCCCCCCTGCGCACGATCGCTGCCGCTACCCGGGCGGGGGGAGCGTGAGGTGGCCCGGGCAACGACCGTGACACGCCAGGGGATTAAACTTCGGTCGGGCCTGTCCCCCTGCAGGGGGGTTTTGGGCGAAAAACTGAAAATACTCAAAAGATGCTCCCAGAGTACAAAAACATAGTTCAAAAATCTGTCCCTGACTATTTTTTGGCCTATTTTCGGATATTCCCCCTGTAGAGGGACAGGCCCGAGTTACGGTTAAAATCATGTAACCAGGCCTTTGCCTGAATAGCCCCTGCAGCAGAGCGTGGTGAGTCGAAGAGCCCGATCAACCTGCTCGAAGCATCGTGCAGCCGAGCGCGCGCGTGGCACGGGAGCGGGAAGGAAGACGCGGCACTGCTGCTGCCGCGAGGGTGCCGCCCGCTCGACCCGCGCATCGGAGCCTGAGAAGAGCAGCCGACCTTCCCGCCCATCTGGACGACATGCCCAAGCTCGACATGACGAACGAACAAAACACACACACACACACACCCATACCCATAGGGGGGTCGTTGGGAGGAGGACTGGCTATGGGTATGGGTGCGGGCTGTGGGACCCTGGGTTCCCGTTCGAGCGGGGACCCCAATCCGACAACACGCACCCATAGCCCTCTCCGACCCCCCTATGGATATGGGTGTGTGCTGTTGGTTCGTCACGACACCTGTGACCGCGCGATCCTGCGCCCGCAGGCCCGCCAGGCACGAGACACGGGCTCGGCCTTCGGGACCGCGCAGCCCCTCGGCCGCAGGCCCGCCGAGAGCGTCGCGCCGGGTCCAGGCTCGACGTGCCTGGCCTCGAGGCCCTTCGGCCGCGAGCCCGCCAAGCGCTCGGCATCCGTGACCGCGCGACCCAGAGAGACCGCATGCCCTTCAAGCGTTACAGTCGGGGCGTTGACCTAAGGAACCCTAAATCAGGAACGAAGCCCCTTTTCCATCAGTTAAGCTTCGAATTCCGATCGAAAACCTAAGGAAGACCTAAGGCGACCTAAGGGAAGAGGACGGAGGATTGTTTGGATCGGGCCCCGTCTATCACCCAGAGGCGAATTGCTCACTACAAGTCACGCTCTCGTTCCTGGCGCACTGCACGCGCCGACAAGTTCGCGGACGCCAGTCGTCAACACCGCACCTGGCCAACTTGTTCATCCCGTCGTGAGTGCGACAGGAGGCACTTTTCGCCAAAGGTCGCTCAATGTGAAAGCGGCGATCAGTTCCGCAGTCGTCGAGGTCGAGCTGTCGAGGTAAACTGATGCAGTCTTCCACGGACGCCAAATACCATCTCGAAACCACGAGCCAATTGAGCAACATGTACCTGCACGTTGCCCCATTCAGGTTTCCGTCAATGGGGCAACGTGAAAAATAGACCGCCGTGCAGCCTGAAGCACTTTTCAACGAAGTCGTTGGAGCAGTACCCTGTGCGGCGGGAGATGACCTCACTCCCAACCCGCTTGTCCACGATGGCGCTACCCTCCCGAAGCTCGTGTCGGAGCCTCTTCGCCTCCAGCCTCCGCCGGGACGGCTGCGCATGTGCCCCAGAGATCACGCAATACTCGCATCGCCCGCCGCAGCGGCGGCCCCAACTTCGGATTGAAGCAGCACGACCTCCCGTTGATCCACCCGACGACGGCCTGGTCGTCCCTACAAGGACAAGAAGCCGGCATAAACATAAACTTCCAGAGATCCGCGTCGATTTCTCAGATCGGCGCTGAACCCCCCACCCTGGCGCGCGGAGCGCGCCAGGGGCGGCGCCAGAGGCGCCGCCAGGGGGCTCCAGCCAGCGCGGAGCCCAGAAATCCGCCCAAGCCGACGGAAACAAATATGTCTGCCTTTTTTGTTTCTTCGAGTCACCCCAGAGATATCGATCATAAACTGGAGGGCCTGGCTCCACGTTGCGCAGCTCGCAACTCGTCTCCGCGCTCCCCGTGAGCACGACGACGCTGCATGTACTTCTTGCCCTTTTTCCAGACCTCGCCCACGGCATTCACACAGAAAGTATCCAC